CCGCCTCCCCACTGCTGGGGGGGCACAGGCTGAATGCTCCTTGCAGCTTCCCCAGGTACCTCCAAGTAGGAGAATTTTGGAGCCAGAAGCATCGTGCTTTTCGGAGGAGGGAGGGATGGGAGGCACCCGCCTCACTCCCCCCGCCAACCCCGCAGCAGCCACGCAGGAGATAAGTAGAGAGGTGTGTTGGCACCTCCGTACCCACAGCAGCTGCTGGAGCTCAGGAGAAGAGAGAAGGCTCCAGGGCTTCCATGGGTCTCGTAGAGGGGAGACTCAAAACAAGATGCCGAAGCATCCCTCAGTGACTTTCCCCAAGTCTGGTCCAGCTGTTGCATCCTGCATCCCTTCCGTCCCTCCCCGTGGGCTGTAGTCTGGACCCTCAGCTCTGCCCTCTCCAGCCATTAAGTGCCAGTTTGAGCAAATCCCAATTCCCAAGACACCCAGATGACTCCATTGTCCCCTCCCGCCCAAGGGCAGCCCTGTGCCTTCCCCCCCCCCTGCCACTTCCATCACCAACCTGTAGCCCTGTCCCCATCCCAGGGCATCCTCCTGATCTGAGGCTTTTGCAGAATTTGCAAATGGGCACCACCTACCCTGAACCCCCTCCTGCCACCTTTGCAAACCAGCCCCGTGTATCTCACGGGGAGTCAGCATTTGTAAACTCCTCCTGCTCTTGTGCAAGCAGCCCTGGACCCACTCCAGCGCTTGGTTTACCCAGGCACCAGCTACTCCCAAGCTTTGCATGGGCGTTGGGCATCAACAAAGGCTTTCCAGAGGCAGAGGGCAAGCGCTGAAAGCAGAGATTCACGCCCGGGGGTGCGGGCCCGTTCCCTTCCCAAAGGTGTTCACCAGCAAGTCACGACACCTGCGCCTGCCGAGACAGAAAAGCGGGGCAAAAACCTTGGGCCGGCGGGAGCTCAGCCCACAGATGCCGAGCTGCAGCCCGTGGGCTCTGCCAGGATTAACATCTGCCAGGTGGGACGTGGGATGGCACGGATTCTCCTCTCCATGATGCCTGAAGACACAAATGGGGTAAAACATGGAGAGTATCCTTTATTGGATGGGCTCAACCAGAGCTAGAGAAAACCAAACACCCTTAAGGTATATCAGCCTCCAGGTCTGCTGAGGGAAAAAAAAAACCAATATGTGACCAGCAGCTTTTATTTTTTTTCCCCTGGATCAGCCCCTCTCCCGAGCACCCTCACCTCCCTGCACACGTTGTGCCACGCTTGCAGGTTGGCAAAGCCAAAACAAGCTGGGCTTTGCGGTTGCTGGAGGGGATTTTCCAAGCCTTGCCTACTTGGCCTTCTACTCTGGCTCTGCGTTGCTGCACCCAGTCAGCACAAGCCTCGAGCCCCACAGCCAGCTGCAGCTTCAGACAACGATCGGCAACGTCCAAGCCCCTCATCTACCGCAAAGGCTGTGGCCACCGCTCAGATCTGCTTGCACAGGCAACGCGCTCCTCTGCCCGCCACAGCTCCTTGCTTCTGCTGGGGTAGTTAATATCATCGTCACTTCTCCAGAAATTATCTGTCCTTTATTTGGGGTTTTTTTGTGAATATATCTTGCTGCATATGGGACTCGCCCCGGAGCAAGATCTGTTTTTGCAGAGGGGAGCAGCCGCAGGACCGGGCTTGGCTGTGGGTCTGGAGCTGCTCCCACCTTCTGCGCAGCATCAGGTGAAAGCCTTTCCTACCTGCCTACCCAAGCAGACTTCTCCAGGAGATGGTGGAAATCCTCTCACGAGTGCCTCTGGAAATTGTCCTCTAGTTAAACACCTGCTTTGAAGCTGGGACCTGACTTTTTGCCTCCTACTCCTCGGGGCCAAGAGCCCTGATGGCAGAACAAGGCTGATGAAAGCTCCCAGCCTCCCAAGGGTGCTCTGCGGCTAAAAGCACGGAGACTCAACAGTGCTGAGTGTTCAGAAAGGGCTGGTGATGAACCACGCTCACTCCAACCAGGGGAAGGCATGGCACCATGCTCTGCATCCCCAGGCAACCCCTGCTGCAGTGTCTCCAACCGGCACCACCTTCCGCCCTGCATGTCCCTGTGCGGTGGGATCCCAGCTGAAGCCCTCAAGTTTCCCAGAGCAAAACTGGAATTGCTGCTTCGCTGTCAAATGCTTCACCAGTCTCTTAGAGCATATGGGCAAACATGAGGAGCAGCGATGACCACAGGAACATCACCAGTGCTGGGGACAGCCCCACACAGAGGATGCTTCATGGCATCTTCACCCAAAGGAATGGCATATGGGAGAAGGACAGTGGCAGAGGGTACGCAGGGGGACCACGGGTATTCTTTAGGCAATTTTAATGGGACGATGTCCTGCTGAGCATCTTGGCCACCAAATTGCTCAAACTAAGTCTTTTTATTTATTTCTGAGGCTGCCTGAGTGGTGTAAGAAGGTTCCCCGTGGGAGGAGAATCTGTGCTGTCCCAGCTCTTACCTTTCACCGCCAGGACGATGGCTCCGAGGACCATGATGAGTGTCTGTAGCGCGTCGGTGTAGATGACGGCCGCCAGCCCCCCTGCAGGAGAGCAAGGCACAGAGCATTGGGGGCGCTGCCAGCTTCGGGCTTGCCTGTGAAATCCCAATAAAGCTGCTCACAGGGACATGCATGTCACCAGTCTCGTCCTGCCAACGCTGCGCTGATGGAGGATGCAGAAGGAGCGTGAAGGCATCACAGGTGCTCGGTGGGTCTGGGAATGAGGGGTGACAGCACCCCTGCAGATCGCCAAGAGCCATGGGGGCTGTGGTCTCACCCAGGGCAGGGCGGGGGAGCCGAGGGACGGCAGGAGGGCAGGGATGCACCCAGCATCCCCATGCAGTCCTCAGGACAACAGCCAGCCCCAGCTCTTTGGTGGCTCCAACAAGGAGATCACATCGAGGACACTGATTTCATGCATCTCTCCCTAACTCCATATCAAATCTCCCCTTCAAAGACCCCTCAGCTCTCCTCCACACCCTGCAATTTCATAGGGCCCTCCTTGGCCATCCACCTAGAATCTTTCTCCCTTCCCCTCCCAAGATCTCTCTCAGACTTGTTGCAAACCCAAGACCTGCTTACTTGGCCAAAAAGCAATTACTCAGCACATGAGCAAAAGCATTAAAAAGTAGCGGAGTGCAGGAAAATGGGTCAAAAATCGAAGCTGTTTCAATCCCAGCCACTGACTCACATCCTGGGAATTCAGGGCTGCACCCTCCCTGGCCATGCCTGGGGTTTTGGAGGGACGTTCTCAGGATCAGGGTGATGCAACGATCACACCCTCTGCCTGAGCTCACGCCGAAATGCCTTACGTCACAACAAGCCTTGTAGGCAGGAAAAAAAAAAACAAAACAAGGTGGGATTTGCTTAAACCCAAAGTCTTGCAAAATCCACCATGTTTCGGATATAAGCTGCTTCCCATTTTGGCAGCTGGGACAAGATAGCGAAGGAGAATTTACTGTTGGGTGTCTCCACTGGCACTACCAGGGGAGGGAACAGCCAAGCCAAGATAATAACCGAAAGGGCTGGCAGGGGTACACGATCCCACGGTCCGAGAGCAGGACTGCAGGCCAGGAACTCAAAATGTCCAACTCCAGCTCCACACCCTCATGGCCTCTGAATCACCAAATAACCGTATGGATTAGCCCTGCAGAAAAACAGCTGGTCCCACGATTGGGAAGCAAATAAAGAAATATTCCCAAGATCTTTGGAGAGGGAGGGCAGTAAATCACACTGCAGACAGGGCAAGTGGGAGGGAAATGAGTTGGGTAAAAGGCTCTCAGATTATAGATTCCATTGTAATAGTCCTGGAATAGGAGAAGCCCAGATTATTGCTGTTACAAATAGGTAACACACACAAGAAAGTGTTTAACTACTGATAGAGGAGGAGTTATTACAAATGAAAAGCTGGAATGACAAAGGTCACTGAGTCATTGTCTGAGCTGATGCTCAAGAAGGATGCTCAGAAAGTGGCTGGATAAGGCAAGGAATATGTACCCCA